TCTCACTCCTTCAGTCCTTCTCACCTTATACATCTTTCTCCTTCCCTCACTCTCATTCTCTCTTCTCTCTATCTTTATCTCTCCCCCCCCTCTCTCTCCCTCCCTCCTTACCTTATACATCTGTCTTCCCTCCAACATCTCCAACTGGCCCATGACTTTACTCATCTCTCTCTCCGCCTCCTCTCTCTTCTCGATGGCTGCTCTCATGTCAAGGTCCTTCCTCTCCATATCCTCCACCGCAGACTTGGCCTGGCCGTCCAACCTTTGCAGCGAGATCTTCAACTCCGAGATCTCTTGCTGGCTCTGAAAGGGAAGAAATCCACCGAAAAAAGCTCGTCATTTCAAGACAGAGACCCAACTCTACGCGGACAGTATTGCATACAGACGTATCTCAAAGGCAGCCAAAAATGACTTACGTCTGTATCCAATACTGCCCGCATCTAGTTGTATAGATACTGGAAGAAAAAAACAATCACAAACATCTTTCTTTTTTTGGGTAAGTGTTTTATGGCGCTCGCAACTGCATAAGGTCATATGAGCACAGGGGACACATTTCGAATTTTGTCCGGGAGGCAACCGAAACCTACTCTTATCAATTTTGGACCACCACGGGATCTTTAACGTGTGCACCTTGCACATGGGACCTCGGAGATTTTTTGTCCTTATCCGAGAAGGCTAGGCGTTACATCTTTCCTACTACAAGATCAGGGGTGTGGCAGAAAGACAGAAGTAAGAAGGAGCCAATGAGTAGCAGTAGAAAGGCTGTTGAAAGAGTCAGGAGCCCAGAGGAGGGGACAAAGGAGGTGAGGGGGTGGGGGCATAAAGTGGAGACGAAAGCAGATGACACAACATTGCTAGGGAGCAGGAAAGGATGTGAAAGGAGAAAAGGTCAGAGAAGAAAATTTTCTGTCGCTATCTGGATTCAAACCTAGAACCTATTGAATGAGAGACGAACACCTTAACCTCTTGAACACGAGGGCCCCCTCACAAAAACAATTACTTCAAGAAAGACAGATTAAGGAGAAAAACAATTTTAAAAACATTGATGCAGCATCCAGCCAGTTGACGTGCCGACTCCTAACAGTGAGTTTTTTTTACCTGTCCCTGTGGTTTTACGCACCCCGCATAATTTAGCAAAATTAGAACATTTTTTGCATAATTTCTGATTATTTTCCTTTCTCATTCTTTGTTAAAATTAACAGAATTGCATAATTTCACATTGTTGGGCTCAGTTTGTATGATTTCAGAATTTTTCTTGCATAAAACAAAGGGGACAGTTTTACCACAAATCTTGTTTTCTATGATATTTAATTTTGTTTTGGGTTTTTTTTATCCAGCAAAAAAAAAAAAAGGTCTGCCATTGTTGTTGTTGTCAGCAATCCAGTAGCATCTGAGCGTTAACTCTTCTGCATGATGCCATTCTGTAACAGCTGCATGTCTGTTCTAATTGTTGTCTTGAGGAGTAGAGGCAGTTAGATGTGTCGGATAGCTTGGGAAGAAAACATCCCCTCAAATCAAGTTAGTTTTCTACAGAACAACAGAGGATGTTCCACTGTCTCTGAGGGGGGGTTAATCACATAGTGGGCAGGCAGCAGACTGCTTTACTCCCAATTCGGTTGAGAAGTTGATCGCGGGGCACATGTTGTGTTGTAAGAAGATTATGGATTCTGCATGACTTTAAAACTATCATTACCATCATCATTGTAATAATAATAATAATAAATTGCATTTATATAGCGCATTTCCATGAAGAAGTGCTCAATGCGCTGTACAATAATACAAAGAATATATGCAGCACACAGCTCCTATAGTAATCCTCTTTCTCTCTCTCTCTCTCACTAGTCTCACTCTGTCTCTGTCTCTGTCTCTGTCTCT